CAGAGCGCTGGGCGTCAGAGAGGATGGTGGTGCTGTTGGTCACCACTGCTGGGGCCTCTCTGAGCAGAGCCCCTCACTCCTGGGGGGTGGGAAGTGGCCACTAGCAAGAACCCGCTGGGATGCGGTTGGCAGGGAGTGACCTCGGAGAAGCTATTTCAGGCGGGGGGAGGATGAGATGGGAGAAACAGAGAAGAGCCACTCAGGGGTGTTGAGGAGACAGGAGACAAAGGCGAGGGCACCGTGAGCCCAGGGACGCACCTGTTCTGGACCAAGCCTGGGCAAGCTAGCGAGAGGAGGGAGGTGGGAGCTGTGGGAGGGGAGGAGGACCCCACGCAGGACCAGGGTGGAGGGCAGGCTGGGGGGTCTGCTTCAGCACGGCTCTGGGACCCAGAGCCCAGATAGCCTGCGCAGAGGGGGTTGGCCCGGCCCGTCCAGCACAGGGCACTGGGCTCGTGGTGAGAGCGGGTGTCCCAGCTCCCGTGGCCCCATGTCTGCCCACCCTCCAGCTCAGCCCTGTCCCCATGGCCATCTCCCACAGGGGGCTGAGGCTTCAGGAAGGAAGGTTCGGAGCTCGGGAAAGCCCGATTCCCTGGCTGCAAGGGGAGACCCCACCCCAAGGGGGGATGTGGTGGGTGGGTCCCTTCCCTCAGGCAAAGGTGGGTGGGTGCGGGCTGTGCGCCACACCTCAAGGGGCCCCTGGGGAGCAGCTGGCAGTGCATCCTCCGTCACCCGCCCACTCTCCCCGCCTGGCAGGCACTGAGTGCTGGGCGTGGGCTGGAGTGTGTGGGAGACAGAAGCGGAGAAAGGCTCACGATTCTCGACTGCATCCTCCCACGGCATAGGCTGGGTGCCCTCATGCTCACAGCCCTTCCCGAGGGAAGCCTCCGAGGGGTTGGGGGGGCTACACCCATCTGCAGTGCCTTGCTGGTCTGTGGGTGTCTTCATGCATGTGTGTGGACACGTGTGTGAACACGCGTGTGTAGTATGTGTCTGTCGCCCACTTCCTCTCCCACCCTCTGCTCAGCGCGCTCCTCCCTCCTCCTCCCCGATCCCTTTGACTTTCTCAGACCACATGGAGGGGATCTCAGACCCAGAGGAGCCTTCCAGGCCCCCTGGTCCTGCCTCCTCCACCAGAACTCCCGAACTCAGCTCAAACAGGTGACAGCTTCTAGTGACAGGGACGCCCGGCCCCCCAGGCACGGGTCCAGTCACTGCGCAGGCACATGCAGCGGGTGCTCAGGGGGGCGGGGGCTCCTGCAAACCCGTGCGTCCCCACTGTGACGCCCTCTGCCAGGGAACCACACAGGAAGGCCTGGTCCTTGGTACCGGCATCTGGAGGGAGGGCTCCCATAAGTGGGCCTGCATCCACCCTGGGGAGGGGACCAGGCTGCCATCCCAATCTGTCCAGGGCACACTGTCCCCCTGGGGCATCAGTTCTCACGCCCAGCTGCTGCCGCATCCCAGGGCCCAGAAGGGCTGGAGCTGCTGTTACTCTGGGCGTTGGTGGGGTCAAGAGGTTTACCCTACAAGCGAGATGGGGATAAAGGACGCCCTCCGTCCTCAGCATCCGTGAGGTGCCTGGCTCCCCTGGCTTCCCGGGTGCGCTCCATCAGCCTGCGGGCAACTGGTTCGTGTCTGGGAAGCCTCTCCTTCTGGGGAACTGATAGGACTGAAGTGGTTTCCAGAGAGGCTTGTGGCTGGACCAAGCCTGTGTCCTGTCCTCTGGGAGGAGGTTAGGCCTGGAGCACCATGGTCCTCTGGCCAGCGGAGACCATGCCTGGGGCAGAGCTCGGGCTGCGCTTGGGCTGAGGAGGACAAGAACTGAGCAGGCACAGGCTGCTGTCAGGGCCCTGCCGTATGGTCGCACATGTCACACGCTTCCTCTTGTTGCCCCAGCAGCTTCCAGGGTAGGGACAGTGTCCCCAAGTTAAAGGCAAAGAAGCTGAGGGACCCATCGCCTGCGTCTGGGGCTCATGTCCGTCGCTCGGCAACCTGGAGTGGTCCATCTGTATAGCCGTTCCTGCAACTGAAGGACGTTTGGGCTATTTGTAATTTCTCGCTGTTTTTATTTTTTTGAGACAGAGTTTCACTGTGTTGCCCAGGCTAGAGTGCCGTGGCGTCATCCTAGCTCACAGCAACCTCAAACTCCTGGGCTCAAGCGATCCTCCTGCTTCAGCCTCCCGACTAGCTGGGACTACAGGCATGCGCCACCATGTCCGGCTAATTTTTACTATGTACTTTAGTTGTCCGATCACTTTCTTTCTATTTTTAGTAGAGACGGGGGTCTTGCTCTTGCTCAGGCTGGTTTTGAACTCCTGAGCTCAAACAATCTGCCCACCTTGGCCTCCCAGAGAGCTAGGATTACAGGCGTGAGCACCGCGCCCGGCCTTTCACTGTTTTTAACGACGCCTAATTTGAGCGCATCTCTGAACCTCCTGACTTTGTTCAAGTGCTGCGGCTTCGAGTACTGGTTTGGAAAGCTCGGCCTCTCCACTCAGGCGGTGCCTTGGCCCCCTGCCCTGCCCGCTCACCAAGGCCCCAACTCTGGCTGTCTCCCCGCAGGACGAGAAGGCGCGCATCGAGGCGCTGGGTGGCTTTGTGTCGCACATGGACTGCTGGAGAGTCAACGGGACCCTGGCCGTCTCCAGAGCCATCGGTGAGGGCCGAGGAGGTGGGCTCGGGCGGGGAGCGGCCACCCGGCAGCCCAGGCCTCTGGACTGTGGCCCCCAGTCACTGGGGGTTCGGGACGGCAGTGTGGGGTGCTTAGAAGGGTTTGCCCTTTACTAGGGTGACGTCATCCATCGTATCGTGAGGGGAATGGGACAGATTGAGAGACTGCAGCTGCGAGCACCTAAGAAACTTCTCACACAAATAATTACAGTTTAAGTTATACTGTGTATTATTTCGTTAAAACAGCTCCCCCCAAAATCTAGTAGGAACCCTTGGCTAGCTGTCCTCTGTGCTAGAAGAAAAGTCTTAAATATTCCATAAATGAGGTTTATCCTTGTCTCCCTTACGTTCATGCGGGTGGTTCTTTTTTCTCTTTTGGAAAAAAAATAGCAGCCCCCCTACCCCCAGATCCCATTTTCCCAGGTCTCACCTGGAGGCTTGGAAACTGCACCTCCCTCCCTCCCCCCCTCCCCAGCCAAGCGCCTGGCACTTGGCATCTGTCCCTCTGACCCCCCTGAACTGAAATATTCTGGCCTTCTCGGCAAATGTGGCGCCTTCTTTACAGCCCGTCTTCACCTGCTCCTGGCTTTGGGTCTGTGGGACACGCCAGGGCAGTGTCGGGGGGCTCACAGGCTGCAGTCGGGGGGTTCTGGGCAGTTGCATAGGGGAGCGGCAGACCCCGCGAGAACAGGCTGGTCTCTGTACCCGCAGGGCGTGAGGGCTGTCGGGGCCTGGCCAGATGGGGAGGAAGCGGCTGACACGGGGGTCCTCTCACTGAGGCTCTTCTCTCCACGCCCAGGAGACGTCTTCCAGAAGCCCTACGTGTCTGGGGAGGCAGATGTGGCCTCCCGGGAGCTGACGGGGTCCGAGGACTACCTGCTGCTCGCCTGTGATGGCTTCTTCGATTTCGTCCCCCACCAGGAAGTCGCGGGCCTCGTGCAGAGCCACCTGGTTAGGCAGCAGGGCAGCGGGCTCCATGTTGCCGAGGAGCTGGTGGCTGAGGCCCGGGAGCGGGGCTCCCATGACAACATCACGGTCATGGTGGTCTTCCTCAGGGACCCCCGAGAACTGCTGGAGGGTGGGGTCCAGGGGACAGGGGACTCACAGGCAGATGGGAGGAGCTGCGACTTGCCCTCTGGCCTCTCAGAGCCCCAGACCGAGGCTCCATGGAGGAGCTAGGTGGTCCTGGCCCTGCCTGGCGCCCCCTCCCGCTCTTGCGATTCTCCCCTCAGAGTCCTCCGGAGTGCGGGCGGCAGCGGGCAGGGGTGGCCGCCTACACGGCGCTTTCGCCAGCACGCAGGAGCGCTGGAGGTGCTTGCCACGCCCGTCCTGGTGGCTGCGGAACTGCACTGGGCAGAAGGAAGCCGAGGGAGACCTCACCAAAGAGAAGGTGGCCCAGGAAAGGGACAAGCTCCTGCTCCTGGCTCCCACTGGGCCAGGGACGGGACCAGAGGCCACGGGTGCCCGGTGGGAGCCAAACCAAAGACACTGGTGTGTGGTGGAGCAACGCGGTTGTTGGGGTGGGACCCTCGAGCCGACCCAGGAGCCACAGGCTTCTTCACGCGTGTTCTGGGGCCGGGCACACAGGCAGGGTGTCCAGCCTAGATTTCTCCTCCCCGGGGCGGGCTGGGAGGGCCCGTGCTGACAGACACGCCCGGCAGGCCCTGGTTGGCCGCACTGGTCCCCAAGAGGAGAGAGCAGCCCTGCGGGAAAGAGGGGGCGCAGGTCTGCGGTGGCCGCCCCATTCCACAGGCCCAGGCCACTCTGGCCACTCTCTTCCCTCGGGCACCCCGGGGAGGTGAAGCTCGGAACGGGCGTCTCACACGTGTCTTTTGTTTGTGTGTTTGGTTTTTTTTCCAGGGAAAAGTCGAATTCAGAAGCAGTATTTCAGGTTTTTATCGTGCCAAGGTGATCCATCGTGTCACATAATTTAAGCAGAGCTTAGTGTTTATTTTATTCCTTAGAAAACTTAAGTATTTACTTTGTTTTTAAAGCTATTTTTTGAGGAAACTTTTTTTGCAGTATTACTAAATCTATTTTCTAAATCAGGATTGGAACAGAAACTTTTCCAGGTGGTGTTCATAAGCCACTCAAGTGCCTTAACCAGCTTTAGACGAGGCTAGAACTGCTGTGCCTGCCATGGGTTCTGACGGGCGAGTTGAAGTTTTTACAGAAGCAGGATTTGTTTCCTTGGGGAGCAGTGATTTTGGCTGGAGTCTTTCCAGAAGAGTTCTTTCTGCCTCTTGGTGATGCAGAGTGCCCAGGAGCGTCGCTGAGGTGCCTCCGGGAGCTGCAGCTGCTGTGTGGCAGTGCCTGGGCCCGACAGCAGGGCCCCGAGCACCTGGGGTGACTGGAGCCATCCGCCGCCACACCTGGCCCTGCACCCTGGCTGGAGTCCAGGCAGCGAGACCTTGCTGATTGACTGGAATGTCCCTGAATGTCTTGTGCATTTGTAATCAGATTGGTCTCATGGGGAGAGACGCTTAATTAAGAGGCCCTGGCAAGTCCAGAGGCAGCCTGTGGGTCTCTGGCTTTGTCCAGAGGCAGCGGGGGTACTTCGGCCTCCCCTGCCTTGCTCTGCCCCGTGGCCTGAGCAGCTCATTCCCTGGCGCACCCTGGGGAGGTGGGGCTTGCAAGGGACCATGCTTGGGTGCCTCGGGGGGCTCACACAGCACGTGCAGAGCAAAGAGTGGCAGGGCTGGGCGAGGGCACCAGGCAGACAACAGGGACACAGGTTGGCCAGCTCAGGAGGTCCCCGGGGAACAGCCTTGGAAGGGCTGAGCCACGGGTAGGCTGCTTTGGGCAGAGGCTCAAGGTCTATTAAACATAGTCACTGTCATTCAGAGACCAGTTGGCCACCAGCAATGACCAGGTAGTGCTTGGCTTCACTTGAAGGCCCTCTGCCTCCTGGGGGCCAGAAATCAGGGCTCCTGGTGCCCTCTCGGCATAGGACTACCAGCCTGTCCTGCCCTCAGGCATGACCTTGACAGAGGAAGGGAGCTATTGGCTTCTGTTTTTCTCTTTTCTTTGCTAATCGTATTCTATTCATGGCTGCCAAGAATGGAGCTTCACCCCATGGAGGTTTGGATCACCCCGTTTGGTGATGTGGTTCACCCTGGCCAGAGGCTCTACCAGGAGATCTCCCCAGACTTGTCTGAGCACCTCCCCTGACCCCTATGCCAGGCTGCGTGGGGACAGCCGTGGCCCTGCCCGGTAGAGGTCTGGCAGCCAGCATCAGGGGCTGCTCTGCCCTCACCCTGGGGCCGAGGGAGCCCTCGCTCTCCCCCCAGGCAAGGCTGGCCTTGTGCTAGCACCTAGGAGCGGAGGAGGCTCTTCCGTCTTGACTAGGGCTGGACTGGGAGTCACCAGGCACCTTCAGCGTCCGAGACTCCTGGGCCACCTCCTCTTCAGGCCACGGTCCCACAGGGAGCCCCAGCCAGGGACACTAGTCTGGAAATCTTCATTTCTTTCTCAAGGCCCAGCTCGGCCACTTGTTTGCTGTATGAGCTTAGCAAGTCATTGCACCTCCCCAGGCCTCAGTTTCCCTTTTGTAAAGCGCAGGAGTTGTGCTGAGTCTGCTGGGGAGATGCTGCCAGAGCCCAGGGCCCCTCCCCCACTGCCAGCGGGGAGGGGTGATTAGGTATTATTAGTGTCTATTCTTAAAAATTAAGTGGGTTGGAAAAGAATCGAGCTCCAGATGCCAGCACCTTATATGGAACACAAAGCCACGAAACGGATCCCTGCTCCACAGGTACGGCAGCCGGCCTGTGGGGCGGGAGGGTGCTCCCGTCAGAGTCCCAGAGGCAGCCCCAGCCTCAGAATAGGAAATGGGTGTGTTTTATGGGGCGAGGGACACGGCGTGGCATCAGGGTCCCAGGACCCATGGGAGAAGCATAGGCTCTCTGAGGTCTTGGGTCAGGCTTGAGCCAGCCTCTGCCCTTGGCCGCAGCCGTCCCAGCCTCCCGTGGGCCAGCACGGTCCCAGCTCTCGCCCTCCCCCGCACCATGAGCTCTGGCGGGCACCTGGCTACCTCAGCAGTGTTCCCTGGCTGTCCCCAGGCCTGGCCCTGCCCCAGCTGAATGGAAGCCGGGTGGGCCTATGTGAAGGAAGCTGTGCTTTTGGCTCGATTCTCCCTCTGCAGCGCGAGGGGGGCAGCCCCCGGGGTCCTGTGCTCTCGGCCCAGGCTCCACAGCTCTGCCAAATGCACCGAGCTTTGCCATCATGTGCCGCGATGGCCTTGCCAAGGGTTTATCTGCACAGCCCAGTGCACTTCCTGGGAGTCCTGTTCTACGACAGGGTGACTGTTTCCCCTGTTCCTGGGGCCAAGTCCCAAGATGAAGGGGCCAGAAGGGTGTTCTCCCGGGTCCCAATGTGCAGAAGTGTCAATAAACCACGAGTTCTCATCTCTGTCTCCTGGGTCCTGCTTGCCTCTCTCACCACTGAGCATCTGGTCCCCTTGGGGGCGCAGGGTGTGTTTGGAAGCTGCCGAGGTGTTGGGGACCGTCTACACATCTTGCGAAGCGAGTAGATGAATTCTGGAGAGAGCCCTGCCTGCCCCCAGCCCATCGGGTCCGGCCAGCCCAGCCTGGTTTTCATCCCCGACACCCCAAGCCCACCCCTGCACACACCAGGAGGGTGATGGGAGCAAGATCGGGCCTCTTGGACCTCAGTTGACACTGGGGACCTGCAGGAGTACCTGGAGGCCCCTCATTCAGCCAGGAGCCTGGACTGCCCCACATGCTCCCTGCTGAGGACGGAGCCCCTCCCGGCATAGCACTGAGGCGGGCCGCCATTTGTGCCTTCCTGATACTGCCCAGAAATTCCGGTTAAAAAACAAGTACTAAGTGTTTGTTTTGCCCTTAGCTCCTGTCACCCATGTTGCCCCCATACTCGTGGCCTGCCTGGCACTCTGCCCATCCTGCAAGAAAAATAGAAAAATTAGCTGGGCGTGGTGGTGCACGCCTGTAGTCCGAGCTACTCAGGAGACTGAGGCAAGAGGATCACTTGAGCCCAGGAATTCGAGGTTGCAGTGAGCTGTGGTCACACCACAGTACCCAAGCCTAAGCGACAGAGCAAGACCCTGTCTCTTAAAAAAAATGCTTTTACCAAAAGACCCAGGGCAGTCAGCCCGCAGCAGAAGGCAGGGTGACCTGGTGGACTGGGAATGGCGACGGTGGCTCCGCTGAGTGTGCGAGGGCACGGCCTGGGCCGCTCCAGCCCCACGGTGGGCTCCAGTCAGGGGCAGGCTCACCGTTCTTGGAGAAAGGGCCAGAGCCTAGGGGTCCCTTTGTGGCCAGAAGAGACTGGCCCCTCATGGCTGCCTGGACAGGCATCAGGAACCTGCCGCAGGCCCACCACATATGGCAGGGTTTAAGGGAGGCCCCCGTAGGGCCCACCCACCTGCCTCACTTTGTGCCACACCTATGACCCCCCAACAGTGACCCTCAGCCCAGATCTCTGTCGCCTCGCCCACCCCAAGGTTGGCTGGCAGCTGAACAGAGGGCCTTGACCCCGGCACTGCGGCCCCTGGCACCGTGGCTGGTCGTTGAGCAGCTGCAACGCCCAGGAGGGCTGGTCCTCGAGCCCCGGTGCAGGGCGCACATGCCCGGTGCACACAAAACCAATCTTTGAGACCCACTTCGGAGCCTTCTCAAGGCCCTCAGGGGTCTTCACCGGCTCATTTCAAGTCCAAATGGCTCTGAGAAGCAGCCAGTCATGGGACTCGGTCATCCAGTCCTTTAGTGGACATGAGCCTAGCATTTGTCACACTGTTCCTGGGCTGGGACGAGGGATGACAAAGCAACTACCAGCCAGCCACCACATCACCACCTGAGACAAGATGGGACTTGGCTTAACACACGGGTGCGGTGCCCGTGGGCCGCGAGGCCATGACAAGTCCGAGCCTTGGAGAGCCCGGCAGCCCACCTGGCCCCGCGCGGCCCCGGCTCTCCGCACCCTCGCTTTGGCCTTTGATTCCTTTCTCGTGTTGAGACAGGAGAGAGCGGGCCGGCAGCCTCCTGCTTGTGCTCTTGGCTGGGCTCAGGCCTCAAGGGGACACGGAGCACTTCAAAAATGCCTCTGTGCAGACTGCTGAGCTGCAGCCCCCAGACACGGCCCTGAACTTGTCCCCAGAATGTGGGCCAGTCGGGTGGGCTGGCCCAGGACTGGCCGGGCCACTGCCTTTTTCCAGCCTTCCTTTTGCCCACCAGCCCCCTCCTGCTTGCCGTCCCTATTAGCCCTTCCCAGACCACCCCGAGAGCCCTCGGGATCCCTTCCCGACCCCAGGCGGTGCTGGATGCCCGAGGCTGCAGCCTCGGACCCTCAGGACTAGCTGCAAGGAAGGCAGCTTCATGTGCCTCCCCCGTCACAGAGGGGGCATCCTCCGAAAAGCAAGAGAACTGGCCCAGGATGCACGGACTGGGGTTCCCCACCAGGCCTGGGCCCCACCCCACCTGCTCACGTCTGTCTCCCCTCCCTGCCCCTCTGAAGCTCCCAGCAGAATCTCAAGTATAGACTGTCTTGATTCTTCCCTAAGGAATCGTCTTCGTGTGTCTGAATCCTGGCTGCGTGGCCAGATGGTGGCTCTGTGCTCTCCCTGCGCCC